CAAAGCGCTATACAGATACAGGCCATTTACCATTTAAAATACTGTAAAGAAATATGATTAAACTATGCAGAAATACTTATAAAATATAAAGAAAGACTATAAAAAATAAAATAAAAAAACAAAAAATGGGGCTGACATTAGAAAAAGCCAAATGTCCACAAAGAAAGCCATAATGGTGAAGAAATGCAAAATATGCACAAAATACTATAAGACTACAAAACACTACAAATATTATAAAGAAATACGAGAATACTACAAAGAAATGTTAACAAACAAACACAGAGAAAGACAAGAGTAACACGTTTTATATAGTACTACCAGGAAATATGACAAAAGATTATAGAAACACTAAAGTCTTCCAAACAATAATGCACAATAAAAAGTAGCCACGCCTGGGATTGACTCTGCATGAGTACATATGATCCTGACAGGGTCACTGAGTGTGTGGCAAACACATTCACAGTCTTCTGCTTCTGCTCTACGACTTCTTTTACTGCCCTCTTCTGCTCCGAGCAGCCGAGGCGCTTTCTATTATAAGCTCATTCATCCAGGCTCTCTCTCTCGCACACATCATTACAACACGCACACACACACTCAAAAAAGGTAACATATTACTCATTATTTTTCTTAGAAGTAATACAGTGGATTACTTAATTACTGCTCCGAGAAAGTAATTTGTTATAATATTCATTACATTACTCATTACTCAGTAAAATGACCCAAAACTCATTATTTGATAATTATAGTTCTAAACAATCCAAACCTGAGAGTACAGTCCCACACACTGATCTCTATCCTAACGAGGACACACACACACAATCTTTAAGTTAGTTGTTACATACAAACAAAGCAAAGATGCGAAGACTTTAAAGCGGTCGTCACGGTGATCCGACTGTAGAAACATGTATCCAGGCTGCAGCCTGACTGCCTTTGTTGCCTTTTGAAGTTCAGGCTCTGGCTGCTGGACTCGGGTCTGCAGACTTCATCATCACTCTGACATTTTGGCTAGCGGTGTGTTAGCATGTTTCCACGTGCCATCACGCTTGTTCTTTTCTGCAATAAAAATAAAAGTCAGGTCTATAGCTTCACTTCTTGAAAGTTACCACGCCACCATTTCCCTCCTCCCACACAAACTGAAATCAGCTGACTTCAGCAGGACTTGAATGTAATTACTGACTTTATGTTACTAAAAATGTGATTACAGTAACAAGTTACTTTGTAATTGGTTCTGGCACTCACAGATGACAGAGTCACCTACATGTTGAGGAAGGATGCGAGTAAATCGTGACGACTCACCCTGAGTGTTGAAATCAAAAAGCATGCCCAGATGTTTATACTAAAATACAGACTGTAGAGCTTATTTCACATCACAGGCCACAAACAGCCCACTTTCAGTCTTTACAGAAAAGGTTCTGCTATCACCAATGATGATGTCATTGATGTCCCCCTTTACATTTTCCAAAGCCACCAGCAGGCTGGATCTTTGTCGGGTTATCCTGGGACCCGGGCTTTCTGTTTCACACCCCTGCTGTGGGAATGACCTCGGTGCTGTCTTAGATAATACTGTCAGCTCCAGAGAGAACCTCAAGAGACCGAGTAATAATAAATAGTCCTAATAAAGAAGATGTTTGTAGACGAAACGTGGTCTGTATGTCCCACTGAGTGCAGTGATCAGCCGTGTCTCTGTTGCTGGTCTCAGGCAGATGAGACACCTTTGATCGTGCTGCTCCTCCACCTTCATAGAGGTTTGTTTAACTTTTTGCTGTGGACACATGAGCGCTGAGTTTCTAAAGGAAGCTCTGCCTTCATTCCGGACATTAAAGGATGACTCGGCTCCCGGTGTGCTCTACAGCATCGCCTCTGGTCTTTGGTGGAGGTCCCAGCTTTGTCCCAGCTTGTGTTCAGTGTCTGAAGGACTGGCATGAACATTATTCTGCAGGTATTCCAGGTGAGTTTGGTGCTGATGTGAGGAACAGCGCGGTG